TTTGATGGGTATGTATTCAAGCTTTAAGGTATTTAAAAACGATCTCAAAAATTGACGCTCATTTAAGAACGATAAAAGTCAGTTCAGCTAGACTGCTAACAATGAGAGCATTTTTGTCACTCCGCTTGTGGTCTATTCCTTATCGTCAACGAACGAAAACGTCTCTTTCTACGACAATCCAACAGGCATAACAACGTAGACATGGTAAGCATGCAAGAGTTACTTTTTTGCATAGGTGAGTTGCAAATGAACGCTTAGTAACTGATGTTTACAGTTTTGTTGAAAAAAAAAAAGCATCTACTTTCAAAAGATGTCATTGGAAAGAAAGTTCAGACACTTATTTTAGGGTCTATTGCCACTGGTGTCTGAATAATTGTTACAGAAATAAACTGCACTGGTGCCGCGCTTCCTGGAAACTCCTGCTTGCAGGCTGAGACTATGCTTGCTGCAGTTCAATCGTTGGAGACATAATCAAAACCATACTCTTTGAGCTACTTCTTCAAAAATATTCTCCCACATAATTTTGCGGTGAGAAGCAAATCGAAACTCTATTTTATCTCCAATAGTTTGTAACCAAATACATTTTTGGGTTTCCATTCTTTTACTAAGTGATAATGTGTTGACTGACCGTACCATCATGTTCCTTGTAAAAATTTTGTCAGCGAGGCAGAACATCAGAAAAATTTGTGTTGTTCACTGGAAAATGGCATTTCATCTGAGAACGTCTAGTCCATAGTGGCGATTAAAATGGAAACAAGTAATTGTGGGGGGAAAGTACCGTTTAAACACAGTATATTTTCCACGGGAAACTTCTAGAAGCAAAGAAACGGATATTTAACATGCCAGTCGACACAGACAGTAAATATATCTTGGCGGTCTTTTCAACCTTTGCAAAAATAGCTGTCACAAAGCAAAAGCAAGATTATTATAATCAATGAAATATGCTTTATTCAAATATTTTGCGCAAGTTTTACCCGAGTCTGCAAAACTAGCAATTCCAAAACAAAAACCTCTAATAACCTCTAGTACAATCCGATAGTTAAGACAAATCACATCGTTTGTTTTACATAGCTAGGACAAAACATTTTGTACATGTGCAGTTTTCTTTGCCTTAAAGTTTCGAATAAAATGCAGCTCTACTGACACTGTACTTGCCGACCCCAGGGGAGGACATGCAATAACTTTTTTTTAGAAGTATGAGAAAGCTGTATAGAAAATTTCGCAACTAGAAGCACATAGTTCGAAGAGTATCTATATATTTCGTTTTGTCGAAAACACCGTATAAAATCATACTAGTTGCTAATGTTAGTTGCTGTTTCGTTTTATTTGCCCACCACTTTTGAGAAGTCTTCCAAAAGGTTACAACAGAAGAGCAACCTATGAACATATGATCTAGGGAATGTGTATCAGCTTAGCATGAATACATACATCATTCTCAGAAATTTGGGCTCTAAAAGGAGACTTTTTAGTAGCGAGAGTGTTGTATAATCTTGTCTTGAAACATTGTTAATTTAATGCCATACTTGATATGAAAGGGTAATTCGTACAAGATTTTAGTTTCAGCAGTAGGTGATTCAAAGAATTTCCTCAAGAACAAGTTGTACACATATTTAGTGGAAATGGTTCCTTCTTTTTCCTCGCTTTTTGGGCGTAAATTACGATACTCTGGCGCTCCGATCGGTGCAAGCATACCCCAATGCTGTGATCTCATTTGTGCGAGATACACACCCTAATGCAGCAATTTGATTGATACGTGATACATATCCTAATGGAACAATCTGATGGGTGCGTGGTACATACCCAAATGCCACCATTTGATTGGTGCGAGCGACATACCACTCTTTACGCTAAAACAGAGGGTTTTTTTTTAATAACTCAATAAAAGTGCTTACAAAATAGAAGGGACACTGGAATACGCCTCTGTACAACTTCACAGCTTTTCACTGATGAACAATTTATTATGATAAAAGGGAAAAAAGGCACAACAAAAATCAGTTAATAACTAAGTTCACCAACACTCCAGAGAGCAAACTCATCAGGGCAGGATTCTCGTTACTGTGTAGCTTGTGCAAGATGACTTTACCATGGTAACGAAAATTTTGGAGTAGAAATGCTCATAAAATAAGCCTTATAATTCAGCTTTTCCTTTAAATACCGGTTATGAAACTAGTAGTAATTTGTAAACACTAAATACAGACGCACTCTGTCAGTCGCAGTACAATGGTGAGTAACCTCGCTTTCATTCAATTTCTTCTTGAATTGGAAGGATTTTCTGGCGTCTTTTGAAGAAATTCAAATGGGAAGTTATGCGCGATTCGAGAATACTGAAACGAAAATATATTGAGCACCAGATATCGAAACAAAAGTAATAACACTGGCTGTATCTGCAAGACGTAACAATTATGCACTCCCAAAAAATAGTTTACAAAAAGTCCTTTGGAAATAATGACGCCGAGGTTGCCAGGGATTTAAGCGAATTCTCGAGACGCCGGCAAATGAATGAAACTAAATCTCACATAACTATCTTTTGTTTCATGCCCTCCAAGACAGTTCTCATTAAGTCCCGCGAATCACATTGACATTTAAAGGGTATATAACTCAATGCCAAGTGATAATAGTTTGATGGTTTCCAATTCAATGAGTCTAAATGTAAAGAACTGAGAATATCATTCTCCAGATCAGGTAGTCTGTTTGATCATATTACTATCAATGACAAGCAAATCGAAGTTGTTTCATCTGCAAGGTTGTTAGGAGTGATAGTCTCGGACAACCTCAGGTGGAACGCACATGTAGAATCTATATGCAAAAAGGCTGCGAAGCGTCTGTACTTCCTAAAACAGCTAAAGCGCGCTAAAGTTCCATCTGAGGATATGCTACTTTTCTATACGACATGTATACGCCCTGTATTAGAATATGCGTGCCCAGTTTTTCATCATTCTTTGCCGCAATATCTGTCCAATGAAATGGAAAGGTTGCAAAAACGCGCGTTGCGGATGATTCAACCTGACTTATCCTACGCTGAGGCTCTAGTAGCTCTTGACGTTGCGTCACTGTACGAGAGGAGGGAGATCTTGTGTGATGCTCAATTTGATCAGATTGTAAGGGACGAAAACCACAAGCTCCATGATCTACTGCCTCCACGCAACGAGTCCACCTATCGCACCCGCAGCCAGAGATACTTCAAGCTACCGATTTGTAAGACAAATAGGTTCAAAAACACATTTATCATGGCGAACAGTTTTAATTATTAGTAGCTACCTTAATTATTTGTATTTTAGTTTTTAACACTTCTCTTATTGTATTTTATTGTAGATTACACTTTGTAGCTTTTATTGTAGTTATCTTAGAGTAAGTGATAATTTTTTATTCCATTGTAAAGTAAGTCGTATTTCAGCCGGCCCGGGGGCTGCAATGATTTTACTCCCTAATAAAGCTATCCATCTATCTAATACCCCTGGGATTAACTTAAAGGTGGTCATGGTCGTCCGGCTATATAGCCGTAAGTGACATCCATAATGAATGCATCTCTTGAGATAACACACGGTTAGTATGAAATTTCATTTCACATCTAAAAGCTAAAAAAGAAAACTCATTTCAATTGTTTTGTCTAAAATTTGATGTTCGGTTTCTCTAAAAAGAATAGAAAAATTATCCCCAAAAAAACTCTTGAAGTCAGTAGTTCACAAGCTACTTGTCTCAAAGATAACAGGCCATGTGCATACATTCTGCTTTGTCCGATCCATGGCTTTTGACTTGATAACATATTACCTATAAACCCGGATAAAACCAAGTTAATTATCAATAGAAGCCGACCTATGCTATCGAAACTTTACAACTTTCATCCTACCCTCCTGGATGAGGACTCTGTTAAAGACCATGGTGTGGTATTCCAGAGCAGACGGTCATTAAATGAACAGAGATTTAAAACTTTTTCTTACCAGAAGTTACCAGAAGGAAGCTGACTGACACTTGTGGTCAACCGCAGCAGCAGGCTCTTTTGAAAATTGACCTTGGAGCCACAGTAGATGCAATGGAACCTTTTGTCAAGGCAACATACGATCTGGAAGGAGATGAACCCCTGGCACTACGAGCATATCAACACCTAAGAACTATGGAGTCCAGTATAGTTAATGCCTATTACCCAAATGTCATTGCCGTGTCCCGCTTACTCTCACAAGGAAACGTTCCTTTGCAACAGCAGTGGATTAACTATGCTACACAGTGTATACGGCCAGCATATCAATATTATCAAGACAAATTTAATCATGGTCCTCTTCAGCCACTGGTAACGATTTTCAAATCATGTCGCCTCTTTGACCCAGTCAAAGTGAAAGAGATGCTGCTGATGCTGCTGCTGTCGACACACTACGCCGTGTTCCCTTTTTTCAGGAAGAGAATGTCATTCAACCTCTTCAGGGTGAGCTTGCAGCTTATCAAGCTCTGATAGAGATAAAGCAGCAGAGATAAATGTGCTGTAATGGTGGAGTCAGCATAGCAAAGAAATACCGAGTTGGGCAAGTGCATGTAAGCAGATCCTGTTATTGCAGCCATCGTCAGCTGCTTCTGAAAGGATTTTTCCACTTCTGCAGAATTCCTTCAACAATCGACAAGAACGAGCCTTAGAAGATTACATCGAAACGTTACTAATTTTGTAGTATAACAACAAATAACTTCATAGGGTCCCTAGAATGATTTCGAGGATCATGTACTCAGGTTTTTTTGGCGTTATTCATAAACCTGTATTGATTTTTTTTCAGGTCTGATTTTCGCTATTGCTTAAATAACGCTATCTACTGCGAGGATCGTGCATCATACGTAAAACTTGTCTGTTTAAAACAGAAGGCACTATCAAAAACTTTGTTTAACTTACACCTTGTACACCTTCTCAGCTTCGGTCAGTATAAAGTTTTTGCAAGTGAGCAGAATATTTTATCGCTGAATTTACCGCACGATGTCTTTTAATAATCTTGCCATATTTTAATATGTTTATGAAACAATAGATAAACCAGGCCCGCCAATCATGAGATCGTCAGATGAAGGTATTCATGGTAATTCACTAACAGTTAGGTGGACTGCACCAGCTGATGATGGAGGGAGTCCTATCACAGGATACCATGTAGTCATGCTAAAAGGTGACACTGAGATAAACAATATAAATATTACTGATCCTGGAACAACAAGATATACCTTTGGGGGTTTGGAAAGAGATACAAACTACGCGGTGAAAGTTTTTGCAAGGAATGCTGTGTTTGAAGGAGATCCTGTCGTAGCCAAGGTGAAGACAAAGTTTGAAGGTAAGTAATCACAATAACGATATGTGTCTATTTCCTTACGGTACTCATGAGGCTAGGAAACTCTAATTTCAGACATTATGTTCTGCTTTTTTTGATCGATCAAGGTCCCCCGGCAGAAGTGGAACTGTATGACCTCCCAAGTGAAACAACAGATCACACAATCACCTTGAAATGGAAGGAGCCAAAAGACTATGGAAAAGTAATTATACAGTATACTGTGTACCAAAGAATAGTGACTGATGAAAAGTTGGGAACGTGGACAGTCGTAGGGAAAATTACGGACGTCTCAATTAAAGAGATGATAGTAAAGTTAGAAAGGGGTAAGGTGTATGAATTTGTAATAACTGCCACAAATGAACTTGGTGAAAGTTTAAAAGAAGAAACGAAGATCAAAAGAGTAAAAGTGGTAGATCTACAAAACAACGACAAGAAAGGTAAGCACAAGTTTAGAAATTTTGATTGCAACCTCACGTTTTGAACTCGGAAATATGATTATGTAAATGTCACATCTGGCGCTGCCGTTACCTTGTCCAACGGAGAGGACCATGAAGCATTGGAGAAATACATCAATTTGACCCACAATTCTCTGGGTCTAATTGATGTATAATCGTGTGAGCATGAGGCGTTCATACCGTGAAGAATATCCTCTACGTATGCAGCGGGGACCTACAAGCTTTAGAAAGGCCGTGATCTAATCAGTGTTGAGCACCGGGACTTATGACTACCGTCCCCCCTACACTCCTTAAATTGTTCGCTTATACATCGCTGAATCCATTCCTCGAAATAGTCCACTTTCAATAGCCAATGAAAAACAATATATATTGTAAACAGACTTAAACAGTCTCTTTTTTCCGTCCACTGCTTCAGGGGAGTGACAACTCGGGAAACATTTAGTAATACAATCACCATTACGTGTTTGAGCCCGTTATGTCGCATTTCCTGCTTTCAATGAGTTGGGTAATGGGGCGTTCTTTTAAATGGTCTAACTTAAATTTCTATTTTTCTCTAGTTTTAGAAGAATGCAACTGCTCGTGCCATTACGTCATGCTTATAGCCATAATTGGAGTGCTGGTATTCATAATCCTTGTGTTATTCATTTACATTGTCTGGTTGCACAAAAAAGGTGAATATCGTTATTCTTCACTTTTGTTTTTACTGTTCGGTCTGCTATCAAAATACCTTCTGGTAACTAATCATTTATCTCTTAATGTTTTTTTTGTTTCTTAGGCGCTAGAAGAAAATTGAGGTAAAAACTCTTCTTTTTTTTCCATTTTTTTAAAACGGGCGTAGATTAAACTAAAAACAAAAGCAATAAGATCATTACTATTAGGCATAGCTGTCCATTAGACCCAATGAAAATTTGTGAAGAAAAATTGTCTGAGCTTTGAGTGACAGAGGTGACTTTTGGAAGAGCATTACTGAAGACAAAAAATGCAACTACACGTGTCACTGAACAATCTTCGGGTTGTATCACAAAGAAAATGTGTTAGAAAATAAATCAGAAATCAGCCGGGAAAGGACGGAGTTTGAAAAAAAAATTTCAAAAGAACTTTTGACTTGGCTATCAGTTGACTTGTAGATATGAGGGTTGAGAAACAACGTGATTCAAATTGAACCATCCTCTTAAATTTTCCCTTTATCTTATTTAAGGGAGTATAAAGATGAAAGTGCCTACGAGGTGAGAGTTCTGACGCTGAAAGCAATTGAATAATATAAGCAGTGATAGGAGGAAATCACCTTAACCAGGTTTTTTACATGGAGCCAAACTTATCGTTTTCAGTAATGTCCACGTGCATGTAAGGATGAAATGTTAAAATGATATATCCTACATTTTTCAGGGAGATGTGGAGTTAAAAGACCTGGAATTAGGCCATCCTGATTCAAGTGACTTTGCCCAGCCTTCTGCAGAGTACATGGATATAAAAGAAACAACCACAGATGAAAGTCAAACACAAACCGTTGGCCAAGCTGCAGACTACGCACCACTTCATCCATCGACACGCTCCTGGGAAGTATCAAGAGATCACGTGACAATAGAAAAAATCATTGGTAAAGGCGCTTTCGGTCAGGTTGCAAAAGGAACAGCTGCTGAACTTCGCGGAAGGCCTGGGATGACGACTATAGCCATTAAAATGCTCAAAGGTAAATATTTTCCGTTATGCGAGGAAGAGTTCTGAAAATTTGTAATCGTTGTTCAGTGTGATGAATGATAACCCGCTTACCGTCATTTGACGAAAAGTTAAAGACGCATTTTCCCTTACCTCCATGTCAAATTTGAAAATAAGGTTTAGAGGCCCCAATTTCCTTTTCCTCCTTTACTGGATTTTACTCAGCAATTCTACCTGGATAACCGAGAATGACTCGCGCATTTTTACAAGATTTTGACAAGCAAAGTGTCTTTAATTTCTGATACTTTCAATTTGTCGGTGACGATTGACATAGTTAATGATATACCTGATGACTTTTTATCTTAAGAGGACGCCTCAGACTCAGACAAGCGAGACTTGGTGAGAGAACTTGAAACAATGAAGCGACTAAAACCACATCCACACGTCATAAAACTTCTTGGATGTGTAACAGAAACTGGTGAGTTGTTCTCGTTAACTGTCCGTGACATTTATGGTTATTATAGAACACAAATTAGTGAAACTGAATGGCACTATGCATTGTTACCTCAAGTTTGGTAGATGGTAGATTTTCTCCTTTTTGAAAGAGAAAAACTTTTATTTCAAGTATTTTATGAAAATCCTTTCTCAGTAGAACCACTTGCTTCTTTTTTAGAGCCACTCCTGGTGTTGATCGAGTATATTTCATTTGGAGATCTGCTGGGTTACCTGAGGAAGAGCCGTGGATTGAATGACACTTACTTTAAAGACCCGGATATCAAACCACAAACAAACCTGACGTCACAGCAGCTGATAAAGTTTGCTTGGCAAATCGCCGATGGAATGAGTTACTTGTCCTCAAAATCTGTGAGTTTTAAAAACAGAAACATCAGAGTATTTGGTCCAGTATTAGTGTATGCAGTGGGAAATTTCCTAGTTTGTTATGCAATAGTTTAATTTTTGAAATAGAAGAAACTTTAATTAGTATTTGTACGACTGGTTTCACTTGTGTTGATTATGATGTAGGAATCTTTATTAATATTCCCCTATGGCTAGATCATCCATCGAGACCTCGCAGCCCGTAATGTGTTGGTCGGGAAAAACGAAACATGTAAAGTAACGGACTTTGGAATGGCCAGAGATGTGCAACAAGAAAGTATCTATGAAAGAAAGACAAAGGTGATTTGAAACACTGCGGCTTGCCTTAAATATCTCAAAGCTACAATTTATAATGGTAGAGTTTCGCTACGACTCCAGTTGAGGTTGAAATTTTATTTTCATGGAATCTCTTTTTCCTTAAGGTATGTTGTTAGTATGTGAATGAAAATATTTCATGAGCTGATGGTATAATTTTTGCCATAACATCAGTTGAACTTCTTTTTCAAGGAATCTCTTCTCTTTTTTAAACTTGTTGTTGGTGTTTGAATGAAAATAAGTCATGTGGTAACTATGTAATTTTGCCATGACTAGTTAACCTTGAAATTTCTCGCATTGAATTTTTTTTTCGATAAGCTATGTTGTTGGTATGTTAATTAAAAATATTTTATGTGGTAAATTCTAAATCCTAAGGGTCGTCTTCCAGTAAAATGGACAGCCTATGAGGCGTTGATGTATGGCACATATACCACCAAAAGTGACGTGTAAGTACAGATATCGCTACGTATTCGACCTCAGGACCTTCAGAAAACAATGTGAACAGTAGCATCCTCACCTGTTTCCCAAAGTATCAGGCTTTTAAGAGTATTCCTACCATCACTGGATATTTGCAATTCTGCCGCTGATTGACCTTTCACCACTTTTCAGATTTCCCTAATGATTTGCTCGACTTGTTTCAACCTGTTTGCTATCATTCGCTCTGACGAAAGAGCTGACGCTCAAAACGTTAATATAAAATCCTTTGATAACACCAAAATTACCTTGTTACCCCCACGAACGCAGCACCACAGTTTCTTTAGAAACTAACCCCCCTAATTAATCTGTTTCTGAGACCACTGCTGATGTTGATATTCTAATTATTCCATTATCTTTTAGATGGAGCTATGGAGTTCTCCTTTATGAGATTTTCACAATAGGTAATCAGTCATTCACAATATATATTGACAAACAAAAAAACGTGTCAATGATAAATTATGATCATTTACTTTGAAGATCAATGTAAAAACAAATTATTCAAGCTAAAACAACATTTTTAAATTGCTGGCACTTGGAAGTTCCCTTTTTTCAAACCTCCTTGTTGTCATTCAACAATTTCACTGATTCAAACAGGACTCATGTGAAATCTACCTTACTTTCTGTTAATTACAAACGGTGGAATATTTGCATCATTTCTAGGGGGTTCACCATATCCACGGATGGATGGCAGGAAAATTGCCAAGCTACTTCAGCAGAACTACAGAATGCCTAAACCACGGCACGTGGACGACATATTGTAAGCTTTCCATACTGTTTGTTACCTTCAAGTTTCTCTTGATGATATAATATAATATGCAAAGGCAAGTGTCAATTAACTTTGGTTTGTCGTTAGTCTCATTGAAAGAAATATTTCGCCCAGTGCTTGTTTAGTACATTCCCATTAAATTGATATCAAAATTAAAATTTTTTTCAGGGCAAAAAAGTTTATTTCTCTGTATGTTTGTCTGTTGAACGTCTTTCACCTCATATCTTTCAGGTACCAGATCATGATAAGATGCTGGCAAAATGATCCGGAAACTAGACCAACATTTACTGAATTGAGAAACCAGCTTAAGGAGATGGAAACCCAACACAAGGTAAGACTTTAGACCATCATAACCCAAATAGAGATTATTCCGAACAAAAGTGTGCGACATCGATTTCTGTTGACGAGTTGCAATGAATCAAAAAAAACCAACGAGAGAGTGCACGAAGCGATTGAGTTTTTTTGAACATTGCAACGAGTGAATAAAAATTGTCCAAGCACTTCCATGGTATGGTTTCATACACACTGAGCCGTGGAGCACGAAGCGAGTGACATCATTCGTCCAATTTGAGACACGAAAGAAAGTAATTCATAGCTGAAATCTCAGGTGAGATTCTCTCTCGATATTAAGGTGAAAGCTTAGGCAGTTATGTTTACATTCAGACCACTGTTTGAGGTGAGAACAACCGCCGGCTTCGATATCTCCCTTTAGTGAATAATTATATTGTTTCCTTTTCTCTCTGCAGAGGCTGATCAACATGAAAATGTACGACAAGCAGTTGTATGCAAACGTCGAGGACTTAAACGTGTAGACATGTACGAAGTCGTGAATTCCTCATATCTTGACTAACGCAGTTTTTATATCAATCATGAGTGGTATCATATTCGCAATTGGCTCGAAATATAAACTTGTTAGAATGAGCCTGAATTAATTAGAGTCACACCTATGGATCCATTAGATAATATTGCAAAGAATCCCATTTTGATCGAAATCTTTCCAACCCTTCTTAATGATAACGGAGCCCTTATTGAGCTAGTTTCCAATCTTTTTAATTATTTTTTTTTGGTTTGTTTATGTGAGAGTTCGTGTCAAAGGAGAGGACTTTAAAAGAAAAATAAAGAGAGCAAAGCATATTCTTTAATGCTGACTATTGTTTATGACTTGCAGCCACCGTCGTCCAAAAGTCACCAATCCTCTCCCCCGTAAGGTTCTTGTAGGGAATCATGATAATTGTATATACTGCTGCCTTATAACTTGCGCTGCATCCCTTATCTAATTTGTTCAATTTATTTTAAAAAATATTCTGGTATCTGGCCCCAGATGTTCAAAGGATGGCTAAAATGGCTATCCACTGGATATCCAGCGGATAAGAAGTTGTTGCAGAAAGCACGGATAGCGAGACGTATAACTATCCCATGGATAACTTGCTATCCAGGCAGTTGCCATGTTTGCAGCCCAGGCGTTGCGTGATCTGTTCGCTCGCGCCTGCTAGTGGCGAGACAACATGGCAGAAAATGTTGCTCCTTCCCCGGCAAAGCGCGCTAGAAAATCCAACTTTACACCCGCCAAATGCGCAGTTATTTTGGAAGAGGCTGAAGAAAATATAAACATTATCAAATGTAAATTTTTTTTTTTTTTTTTTTTTTTTTTTTTGGAACGAAAAGTGTCGCCTAATGTGAATAAATCGTTTCGATAAGAACCAATCCGATTTCAAGGATCACCTGTGATTTCAAGGTGAAAGTTATTAATAAAAAATTTTAACATAAACCTGAAACTAGCTATTGGTGAATATTTAACAATTCACGTAATGCCTAAGTAAATATTTACTGCTCGTTACCGACACTAAGGTTAATATCATTTGCTAAGCAAAGCGCGCCCTTAACGCTACCCACGGTTTTACTATCTACTAAAACGCAGCATCCCCTCTCTTTTCCACTAAGTTTGGGTCTGTCCTGATTAGAGTCGTATTGTCTTCGATTCTGTTGGTATATTTGGGGAATGGGTAAAAGGTTGAAATATTCTCATGTCCCCCTCCCTTCATCGGTCGTTTATTGACGGTCACATTTCTTTAGTCCCCCTTCATACTCTGTTGGCGACAACTGTTTCCCCCCGTTCCCCTTGAAAACCAGTCCATCCCCCTTCAATCTTCCCCTCCCCCCCCCCCGAGAGAAAGATGGCTCCATAACTGGGGTAAGCAATACGTTGTGTTATTAGTACCATACCATATTGTGTCGAAGGAAAGTTTCTTTCTGAGAAAACTGCATAAAAATTGTGTAACAACTTTTTGTAGCCGTGATTTCAAATCAAAAGCGTGACGGGAACCGCAAATTAAAATATTTTTGGTACAAGCATATCTTATGTCTCTGAGGACCACATGCCATCTAATTTTTTAAATCCAAGTGTAAGCAATTTGTCATTTTTCTACTTGAGTGCCTCAGATTAGGAAGTTCATTGCGAATACGTTATATTATCGTAACTCGCAGGTCTACCGTTGATATTATTTCAAGAAACTTCCGTTTGTTCAAGGATCGTGTCTTATTTCTCATTATTGCAGTTTTAATCGGCTGTCAGCGGCGTAACAATATTTTAGTTTCTGTTCAATAATCGCATTATCATTATTTAAAAATCAATTAATTGTACATATTTAAGCTATAAGTTAATTGCTCCTTTAATCATTTCCACCTGGCATCCTTGAGATATATCTACATCAGCCGACGTCTCCGACGCCCAATGCAAGATTATGGGAACAATCACTCTAATTTTGACGTAAATATTGTCAACTGAAAGAGCTTTGTTCATTTTTATGATTTGATTTCTTTCCCCAACTCTGCAAGATAACAGCAGTAGCTTCTTGATTTTAAGTGGCTGCTTTCATAGTACGATCATTTTACCCTCACTTCTCAGTGGTTTATTTCAGCGAGCCAAAATATACCTCAGCCTACCAAATTTTCCATTTATGCGCCACAACTACCGACAAAAAGTGACTCTAACCCTTTACATCCTTACCCTACCCCGCTCGCAACTTACCACCCCATTTAGAAAAGGACCCTCTCGCAATAGACTTTCCAATCGTCACAAGTGAGTCATGGCAAATCTTTGCAACTAATATCTTCTATAGAGTTCAAGGGTTTTTATTATTATTATTATTATTATTATTATTATTATTTTCAATATCATTCTTAATGCATTGAAACTGCTGGGTCGACCTAAATCTTCCAGGTTTTATGGTTTTAAAACATTTGGAATTGTTGTAATATATGGAAAAAAATTAGTCAAATACGTACAATTATTTTTTACTCAGTTCGTGAGCGGGCGGTATCCTACAAATCCTGCAATCTTAGTGGTTCCGAAAGCGGGCAGTATTCTCCCCATCGAGCCCGCTTACAGCGGGCGGTGTCCGTTTCGCTTGAGTAATTTTGCAGAACATATCAAGCTTCGTTGCAATTTTTTGCAAAATTAATAGATCTCATTTTCCCGGCTGGGCAGAATTTTTCAGCAAAGACTTTGGTCTCGACCTTTTGGTCCCTTTGGTCTACTTCTGATTTCGTCGTTAATGTAATGCATTAAAGAAAGACAAGGGTGGAAGCGTTGTTTTGAAAAGGTTCAAGCGCCCAAGCGATTTTCCCCCCGAAAATCGCATCGCTTCGCTTTCAAACTTCGTAGCATTAAGGTCAAAAGATGCACAATTCTCGTCGTACCTTCCAATCGAAAATCCATCCAAACGGATCGGAACTAGCACTCGAAGAAAATCAAAATCCCACAGTATTTTAGCGTCTGGGATGCGTAGCAAGATTCTCATGTGCCAGCCAGAAACCGTCACGTTGATTGCCCTTTTCTGATTGGACGACGTTAAACGATGACCAATTCAAAATATCTAACGAGGGTGGGGAACCATTGGCGTTTAGTGACCCTTCAACTGTTTACCCACCAGACTCGGGTCGTGTGTCTTAACGCTCACCGGAAGCAACTTACATTTTCGCCCATTGTTCGCATCTCCTTCATCAATTGGCAGTTTTC